CAGTGAATTTAAACAAGAAAGAACGGGGCTGGAGAGTTGGCTCAGTGGTCAAGAGCACTGGCTGTGCTGCTCTTCCAAAGGATCCAGGGTCAGTACCCAGCTCCCACACGCCAGCTCCCAAATGCCTGCAACTCCAAGATCTGACCCCTCACACAGACATAAAGCAGGGAAGGCAACAATGCACATTAAAAAAAAACTACAATAAATAAAAGAACAAACACAAAGTTGGGGGACATATTGGCGCGGGGGGGGGTGTGAGAGGGGGAGGAAGAGGGGAGTTGGGAATGGATAGAGTCAAGATCCGTTATTATGGCCAGGTGTGGCAGAGCATGCCTTAAAAAAGCCCAACACTGGGGATGCAGAGGCAGAGCTGAGTTCTAGGCCAGTTAGGGTTACAAAATGCAACCCTGTCTCAAGAAAGGATGTTTAAAAGATACATTGTATACAGGTGTGAAACTGTCTTAGAATAAAGAAACTCCTTTAATCCCTGCACTTGGGAGGCAGAGGCAGGAGGATCTCTGGGAGTTCAAAGCTAGCCTGGTCTACAGAGCAAGTTCCAGGACAGGTTCCAAAGCAACACAAAGAAACCCTGTCTCGAAAAACAAAAAAAGTAAATAATAGAAAAAAATAAAAAATAAAGAAACATTTTAAATACAAAAGTAACTGATACACATCATATCTGAATCAATATATACGTTTAACATTGCTCTGGGCTGAAGCCATGGCTCAGCAGTTAAGGGAATATGCTGCTCTTCCAAAGTTCCAAAGTTCAATTCCCAACACTCGTATATTGGGCAGCTCACCTATAAGTCAAATGCCAGGGGATCAGAGCCCTTTTTGTTGTTAAGGGCACACTGCCCAACACATTAGCAGCATATGTTCACACAAGACACACACTTAAAAATCTTTAAGCTGGGTGTGGTAGGATACACCTTTAATCTCAGCACTTGGGAGGCAGAGAGGCAGGTAGATCTCTGTATATTTGAGTCCTGCCTGGTCTACAGAGTGAGTTCCAGGAAAGCCATGACTACAATCAATAAATTTAAAAAACTCAATCTGGGGGCTGGAGAGATGGCTCAGAGGTTAAGAGCACTGGCTGATCTTCCAGAGGTCCTAAGTTCAATTCCCAGCAACCACATGGTGGGTCACAACTGTCTATAACAAGATCTGGCACCCTTTCTAGCATGAAAGTGCACATGCAGGTAGAATACTGTATACATGAGAAATAAATAAATCTTATAAACAAAAAGAAACGGCTTATTAAAAAAATAACTCAATCTGGGTGTAGTGGCACATGCTTTTAATCCCAAGCATTGAGAGGCAGAGGCAAGCAGATCTCTGAGTTTGAGGCCAGGGTGATCTAGAGTTTCAGAGAAAAAAAAAATCTTAAAAAAAATTAGCATTACTCCATTCTATTTTAATTACATGCTCAATTATAAATTTTATGTTTTTATTAATTGTTATTATCTTGCCTACTAATAAATGTGACCAAAGACTTAAAAAACACACACATTCACAATAAACCCTAAGTCTGATAATCTGCAGGACTAGAAGGAAGCACACACTGCCCGGCCCTCTTTCCAGAACCTTCCTCCCAAACAATTCCTCTAGGCTTTGGTTCTACACAACTTGGTACGAAGTGAGTATTGTGGAGGTTTCTGTTCAGATTTGGGACTGCCTGGCTAGAACCCAGGGCGGTGCCAATGCTAACACATGCTCTGTCCGAGAGCCCAGCCCCTGGGCCACTCTCTGCCGACTCAGTGTGACATCACCAACCCAGTCCTCCATGAAGAGCTCTTCTAGGGTGTGGCCTTGGTAGAGGAAGATCAAACCCCAGGAATAAACGTAGCCAGCACAAACTGGCCTGGGTAGGTTATTAAGTTGAAAAAGAAAAACGGGAAGTTGGAGGGGTGACAAGGTGGAAGGTGGGCCTAGAAGGATCTAGGGCCAGAGGGTAAATAGATCAAAATACACTGCACCAAATCCTCCAAGAGTTAATAAAATTGTCTGTATGCATTTAGGTTTCTTTGAGACAGGGTTTCTCTGTGTAACAGTCCTGACTGTCCTGGAACCTACTTTGTAGATCAAGTTGGTCTTGAACTCACTGATTAAAAGGTCTAAGCCAGCACCGCCTGGCTTACAGCTCACATTTTAAAAAGCCAAGCTTTACAGGCCTGTTTCAGGCTACCTTGGCACTGTGTCCCTGGCTGGGTCCCAGAGGAGCCTTCTTCCCTGAGGCAAGGGACTGGACCAGTCTTTGATGTGTGCTGTTTTGTTTTTGGAAACAGTCTGCATGAGCTGGAATGGCCAATTCTTAGGAGGTCTCATCACAGTGAGAGACTCACACCAAAGAACTGGGGAGCCTGTGGGGAGCACTGCACTGCTGTAGCTCTCCTGGACTCTTAACCCCTGCAGTGACTTAGCCTGTGCTGTGTGTCTATAAAACTCTGTCTCTGTTTGCCAGACAGCCTACCAAGCCTCACAATGCAGGACCACATCTGGCCCTGTCTCCAGCAGTGGGGCAGGCCTCACACCTCCTGTGTGGTGTCAACAGCCAGCCAACAGGTGACACATGGGTGTGACTAGGTGCCCAATGAAAAACCTCTACAAGGACAGAACCAGGGACCCTGGTCTCATTACCACCCTGTGTGACCTGAAGCCGTGAGTCACTGAGAGCTTGAACAAAGGCTAGTCCTGCCACCCCCACCGGCCCCACATCACCACGGCACCCTGATGCCTGCCTGGGAGCAGAGGACCACCCCCAGAGGCAGAGACTGGCAACTAAATGCCCACAGAAGACAAGGAGACCATGTAAGTAAGTCCATAGTCCTTAAGCCTGATGCCCTCCAGAACACAGATCCATGACACCTTCCCTTTTCTAAACTGCCACGATAAGCACAATGATACATGCCAACTGATATGTCCCAGGACTGGAGCAAACCCAGAGCAGGCAGGATGGAACTGCTGCTTAGTAGTAGGGCATTTGCCTAGCATGCTTGAAGCCAGAGGTCCATGCCCCATCCTGGAACAGGAGGAGGAGATGGCCACTTCTGAGCAGAGTGCTGTATAGACCACCTTCTGTTTCCCACTAAAGAAGGGGACAAGGACTTGCGGCTTCAGGCTAGTGTCTGATAATGACACCAGGGTCCCTAGTTCCTCCTGAAGTCTTTGAAAGTACTGACAACTCAATTTATGCCAGTGGTGGTGGCTCACTCCTTTAATCCCACCCAGCACTCGGGAGGCAGAGGCAGGTGGATCGAGCGAGGCCAGCCTGGTCTACAGAGTGAGTTCCAGGAAAGCCTGCAAAGCTACAGAGAAACCCTGTCTCAAAAACAAACAAAAACCTCAAAAAAAGAAATTAATTTAGGGCCTAGGCCAAGAACGAACACACACACACACTCTCTCTCTCTCTCTCTCTCTCTCTCTCTCTCTCTCTCTCTCTCTGCTCAACGCTAAACGTAAGTGCTGCTCAGTGATACAGCTCATACTTACTGGGTACAAAGCCCTGAGTTGTACCCCCCAGCACCACTGTGACATAAATTCACACGTTTCATATGTATCTTGCACAGAAATTTAATACAGTATTTTTATTTTTATTTTTTTATTTTTGGTTTTTCGAGACAGGGTTTCTCTGTGGCTTTGGAGGCTGTCCTGGAACTAGCTCTTGTAGACCAGGCTGATCTCAAACTCACAGAGATCCACCTGCCTCTGCCTCCCGAGTGCTGGGATTAAAGGCGTGGGCCACCACCGCCCGGCATAATACAGTATTTTTAATGCACCAGTGTTTTGACTTTACCCTGTCACATTACGTCGGGTGTGGAAATTTCCATTTGTGGCATTAATATAGGCGCTCAAAAAGGTTCGGTTTTTTTGTTTGTTTGGTTTTTTTTTTTTTTTTTTTTTTGGTTTTTCGGGACAGGGTTTCTCTGTAGCTTTGGAGCCTGTCCAGGAACTAGCTCTGTAGACTAGGCTGACCTCAAACTCAGGGATCAGCCTGTCTCTGCCTCCCGGGTGCTGGGATCAAAGGCGCGCGCCACCACCGCCCGGCTAGAGCTTCAGATTTTAGAACATTTCAGGTTTTCGATTTTTCAGATTAGGGATACTGAGCCTGTGTATCTTCTATTTATGGGCTACATTTCTTCACATTAGGGAATACATGTTTGCTGTCAGCGGTCTGTTCACACTTTAAACAAGACGAAACAGATCGGATACATGGTTTTCAAAAGCCACTGAAGTGAGTGACCCTGGCGCGCCCCCACCTCCCAGATCCGGTCCCTCGGCGCGCTCGGACTCGCCCGCTCGCCCGCCTCCCGCGACGACACGGGAACCCCGAGCCGTTCCGCGTCCCCGTCCCCGTCCCCGGCGCAACGTCTCCCCTCGAAGCCCAGGCACTGACTGACCTCGGCCTCCTCCGCCTCGCTGCTGCGCTCGCTGTCCTCCTCCTCGGAGAAGTTGCTGTCCTCGCTGTCTGACATATTCCGCAGCTGCGGAGGCAAACGGCGGCCTCGGAGCACCCCAGGCCCCGGGGCGCCACCCCGAGCCCCGGCTTCCCTGCAGGTTCCATCCCTCCGCGCGCTGCCCGCAGCCCGGCTCCGGCGACCGCGAGCCCTGCCCATGCCCGCTCTCACCCAGGCCGAGTCCCGGGCTCCGGGCCGGACGCCTCCCGCACCCCGGCGGCCCCCAGCCCCAGGCCTCGCCACCTCCGCAAACCCTCTTACCGACCACTTCAGCCCCGAAGCTTCCGCGCCAGCTGCCGATCACACAACGCCCCGGCTGAGCTGACGGGCTCGCTCTCGCGCGAGAACTGGCGCGGCAGCCTCGCCTAACGCGAGATTCCGGCGCCCCCCCCGCCCCCCCCGGCCTGCCCAGAGGAAGGCATGGGGTCGCCATCTTGGATGTGGCTAAAGGCGCCTCGGCGGAGTGGGCAGCCGCCATCTTAGGAAGGTCAAAAAGAGAAAGGCGGGGGCGGGGCGGGGCGGGGGCGGGGCGGGGCGGGGCTGGTTCCTCGTAAGCCCTCTAAGCCTTCCTGGCAGGCGTCGGAAGTGGACACAGTGACTCACTCTGCTCCACGTCGCCACCCTCGGCACCGGGAGGCGGTTCCCCACCCCCCAGACTCCGGTCAAATCCAGGTTCCTGGCCATGCCCAAACCCGCCCGTTTACTGCAGCCGGCTCTGTTAATGCTCAGAGGGTAAGGGCGCTCGCTGACCGCTCTTCCAGAGGTCCTGAGTTCGGTTCCCAGCAGCCACAATCCGTAATGATGCGATCTGGTGTCCTCTTCTGGTCTCTGCGCGCACTGCATTCATGTATATGTTCACAGGTATTGTGCAGCCTTAATGGAAAAATGAAAAATTATACGTGTTTGGGTCATCTAGATGGTTCATCAGATGAAGAGTCTCGATGCCTGAGGGGACTTGATCCCTGGAACCATTTAGAAGGAAGAATACCCAAAAGTTGTCTTCTGACAACATGCTATGACGAGTGCGTGTGTTCTCTCTCTCTCTCTCTCTCTCTCTCTCTCTCTCTCTCTCTCACACACACACACACACACACACACACACACACTAAACAAATAGTACGCGGATCTCTGTCGAAAACCAAAAAGAAGTCACATGCTAGTGGTGATACCCACCTTGTAATCCTAGTACTTGTCAGACTGAGGTAGGAGAATCTGAAGTTCCAAGTGACCCGGATTACAAAACGGGACCCGGAGGAAACAAAATGACACCAGACTACTGAAAAACACAAGTTCATTTCCAAAACCATTTATGGACAGAGTGAAGCCAGACAGCTGAATCTAGCAGAGCGTATGATCCCATTCATACAAAACTATGAGCAAGCAGAGCCGAGCTGTTCTTAGGGCAAGCAGATTAGTGGGCGTCTGAGGCTGAGTTGGGGACAGCCTGGGAGGGGGCACATGGAACGCCGGAGGGAAATGTGGTAGTGTCTGCCTGTATCAGAATATGCACTTTACATGCTGCCTTTCACTTAACAAGGTTTAGCTTTGGTTTTCTTTCCCTTTTTAAAAACGGCTGGCTTGTATTTTTTTACGAAGACAAGGTCTCACCCAGTGGGTCTGGCTGGCCTCAAGCTCATTATATAGACCAGGCTAGCTTTGGACAAGAATGAATCTCACGGCGTCTGCCTGGGATACAAGCATAACGTTTTTTTTGTTGTTGTTGTTGTTTTTGTTTCTTTTGGAGCTCAAGGACGAGTTCATTTGATTTTTCCATTTTTGTTCATTTTTCTGTGAGTGCATGTTTTCCTGCGTGTATGTCTGTGTGCCATGTGTGTTCCTGGTGCCCTTGGAGGCCAGAATAGGGTGGACTGGAGTTACAGATGGTTGTGACACTGAAACACCATGGTGAAGGTGCTGGGACTCAAACCAGAGTCCTCTGGAAGAGCACCAAGTCCTCTTAAAGGCTGAGCCGTCACTGCAGCACAGACAGGCTGCAAGCCTCAACAGCTGCTGCCTCAGCAGCCAGATGTACAGGAGGAAGTGACCCATGCCTTAATGAGCTACGGTCCCAGACAGCTAGCGTGTTAGGCAGCGGAGGCTGGCAAGCCTTGGCATGCGGGAGGGAAGCGGTTTTAGAGAGAGTGAGAAAGCCCAGAGTGTCAGTGATATCTTAGGCTTTGGGAGTATCTGGAAGACAAAAAGGAGGTGGAGAGGGAGGGAGGGAGGCGGAAATAGAGAAGTGTTTGAATTACAGCCTAGGAAAGTAGGCCAGGGCTGGGGAGTTGGCTTCTAGGTCAAGAGCATTCATTCATTGGTTGTTCTTTTTTTTTTTTTTTTTTTTTTTTTGGTTTATCGAGACAGGGTTTCTCTGTGTTGTTTTGGAGCCTGTCCTGAAACTCGCTCAGTAGACCAGGCTTGGCCTCGAACTCACAGAGATCCACTTGCCTCTGCCTCCCGAGTGCTGGGATTAAAGGCGTGCGCCACCAACCCCGGCTCTCATTTTTTAAAAATAGAAGAAACTGGGTGGTGGTGGCACAAGCCTTTAATCCCAGCACACAGGAGATAGAGGCATAGGCAGGCAGAGGCAGATCTCTATGAGTTCGAGACCAGCCTGGCCTACAAGAGCTAGTTCCAGGACAGCCAGGGCTACACAGAGAAACCCTGTCTGGAAAAACCAAGAAGAATGTGACTGGGTGGTATACACCTTCAAACCCTGCATCAAGGGCTCTGAGACAGGAGAATAAAAAGTACAAGGTCCAGGGCTAGAGAAATGGCTCAATGGTTAAGAGCACATTGAAAAACCAAAATAAATAAATAAAATAAAGCTTAAAACACAGAAAAAAGACACCCTTTTCTTAAGACACTTTTTTTGTTTTGATTTTTTTTTTTTCTGAGACAGGGTTTCTGGTTGTCTTGGACCAGGCTGGGCTTGAACTCACTGAGATCTGCCTGCCTCTGCCTCTCGAGTGCTGGGGTAAAGGTGTGCACCACCACCTCTGAGCCTAGGACAATTCTAAAATTGGATGCATCGCACATTTGTAGTCCCAGAACTGCGGAGGTAGAAGCAGGAAGATCAGGGTTTCAAAGCCGTCTTCTCCTTAGTTACAGTGTGAATTCCAGCGAGCCAACCTGGACTCCGGAAAGAAACTGCAAAACTGAGTAGGGGTAAGGGCTGGGCCGTCAGAAGGACCAATGGATTAGGATTACTGCCATCTTCTGGAAGTTGACAAATATGAATCTACAATGTCCAGGACAAACTGTCCCTTACAGATGCCATCCCTATACACAGTGGCCCTGCCCACCTCATGGAATTAATGGAGAGTGCATTACCCAACGTAGTAAGACATTTAGATTAGAGCAGCACCTGGTGCACGGTAAGCACTATTTAAAGGTGCATGTAATCACAATTAGCATTTATGTGCCTAAAATATATTTACCTTCCAAAGTTGGGGTAGTGGGTCAGAATATGACAGCCAGAACACCAGCTGTACTGTTTTCCTGGGAACATGTTCAGGCGTGCGTAAGTGCACACAGGCAGAGACCGGAGGTTTCTCCCTGATTTTCCAGCTTCAGGAAGGAGTTACCACTACCAAGGGAGTGGATAGTCCCATGTTTTGCTTGTTTAGACATGTCTCATTACATAGACTTAGAACTCTCTGTAATACACGTTGATATCTAATTCATAGAGACCTGCTGCTGTGTTTACTTTTATTACATTTAACTGTGAGGTGTGTGTGTGTGTGTGTGTGTGTGTGTGTGTGTGTGTGTATGTACATGTACCACAGTGCATGTATGGAGCTCAGAGGACGTCTTGCAGGAATTTTCTCTTTTTACCACATGGGTCCCTAGAATCAGACTCGGGTCTGATTCCAACTTGTTTTTCTTTGGTACACGGCTTTTGTTTTTCAAGACATGGTTTCTCTGTGTAACAGCCCTAGCTGTTCTGGAACTAGCTCTGTAGACCAGGCTGGCTTTGAGCTCAGAGATTCACTTGCCTCTGCCTCCCTGGGATTAAAGCCACCACCGCCCAACTGTCCAACTTGTTTCTGTTTGAGGCAGGGTCACATGTAGCCTAGTCTGGCCATACACTCATTATGGATTGGAGGACTGAGGGAGAGGATGGATCCTCCTGACCCTTCCTGCTCCGCCTTTCCTTGTGACAATAGGAAGCTCTGCATGACCACATCTAGTCTACTGTGTTGACAATCGTGCCCTCCAGCTGTTTCCAAGTCCCTGACAAGGGGAGTCGCTATACTACTCTGTGATGCTAGAGAAACAGGGGGGGGGGCAACTGGGAGAAAACTGTAGCCGTGAGAGAATCCCTTGATTTAGGAGAATTCTGGGGTCGGGCACTCTGGAAAAATTAAAACCTGGCTTTCCTCACCTAGGATTGGTAGGCTGGAGAATCCTGTGGGCTAGACTTAGAGCAGAGGGTTTAGGGAAACATGACGATAATTTGGAGGCCCGAAAGTTGGCTCGGTAGGCAAAAGCACCTACTGCTTTTCACAGAGGACCTCTGAGTTTGGCTCCCAGTACCCGTAACTACATTTCCAGGGAGATCGGAGGCCTTCCCTGGGAATCTGCAGTCTTGAAAGTATTAAATCTTTCAAGACTGCCGGGCGTTGGTGGCGCACGCCTTTAATCCCAGCACTTGGGAGGCAGAGGCAGGTGGATCTCTATGAGTTCGAGGCCAGCCTGGTCTACAGAGTGAGTTCCAGGACAGCCTCCAAAGCCACAGAGAAACCCTGTCTCGAAAAACCAAAAACAAACAAACAAACAAAAAAACCAAGACGACTTGGGGAACTCGGGATGAAGGTCTTTTAGGAGAGCTGGTCTGAAGATGGGTCCTGAGGGCTGGCTTCTCTCGGTGAGGGCCGTCCTGGGAGGCATTAATTTCCCAGGAGCGGTTGTGGGGAAGAGGAGGGAGTAATTGGGGCGAAGGCGGGTGTGGGACGGGCTGCGGGAGGAGAGGGGCTTTGGGAGAGCTTTGAAAGGGACTTTTAAGGGTGTGCCTCTGAGAAAGGGGGTCCGGCTTACTAGGAAGGGGAGACTCGGCGGGAGGACAATTCTAGGGACAGGTAGATTCGCGGCGGAGGGGGGCTAGGCTGGGACGCCAGCTTCCTTTAGCGCAGCGGATTCAGGAAGGCCCGACGGGATCCTGGGGAAGCGTTGGGTGGGAGGAAGGGCGACTGGGGGAGCCCGGGGAGCATCAGCGAGCAGACAGTCCACTCCTCGGCTTCCCCGAAGGCGCTGCCCGAGTCCCCGCCCACCCCACCGTCCCGCCCACCCCACCGTCCCGCCCACCCCTGAGACCGCCTCCTCCCCGGCCCGAGGGCGGTCCCTCCGCAGACCGCGCGTCAGCCGTAAAGCTCGCATCTGTCGTGAAGCAGCGCTCACAGCGCCTGCGCAGACCCTGAAAAATCGGCCTGGGCGGCCCCGCGCTTTCCTTTTCCGGTGGCGGCGTCGCGCGGTGAGGAGCTCGTGTGCTGGGTCGCAGCCATGCCGTCCAAGGGTCCGCTTCAGTCCGTGCAGGTCTTCGGACGCAAGGTGTGCCAGGGGGCGCGGGATGGAAGGAGCCGGGGCAGGCCGGGGCTGGGGGACATCGGAGACCCGGGGTCCGCCTGAGAGCCGGGGCCCCGAACTCACGCCGCCCCGCCTCGCCTCCTACAGAAGACGGCCACAGCCGTGGCGCACTGCAAACGGGGGAACGGGCTCATCAAGGTGAACGGACGCCCCCTGGAGATGATCGAGCCGCGCACGCTGCAGTACAAGGTGAGGGGGTCGGGCGCGGGCGGCGGGGAGACGGCAGGGAAGGCCCCGGGAGTTGGAGAAGCGGAGGTGCGGGAAGGAGGGTGGCTTACTTAGCGATCGGCCTGGGGAAGGGAGATTTCCTAGTTGGGGCAGTAAAACGTAAGGTCCTGAAGAGCAAGGAGGATAGAAGTTAGCTGCAGCGTCTGGAAACTCACCCAGCTGCGAGGAGCAGGGCGGTAGCAACGCTGTCTGCTGCGTGATGGTGGATTTCTATCGTAGAAGTGTAAGTTTACAGGCTCGTGTGTGATCCCAGCACGGAGCCACGAGTTACGAGTCCATCGTAAGGAAGCGCGGTTTGGGGCAGCGTGGGCTGCGCTGTGGAAACCCTATGAAAGAAAAAGCAGAGGGGGTTCTCTGAAATCTAAGAACGGTAGCACTTGTATGGGTTTTTGTTTACTGGTGGACAAAGACTTTAAAGACAGGTGCAAAAATAAATCCTCTTTTGCAACCCAGAACTCATTGTTGTATGAGTTTTGATACATGTAAGAAGGAATATTGCATCAAAGACCGTTCGCAGTGTTGACAGTGTTCATGATAATGCCACTAGACTCCTGCCATGAAGATACTTTTTAACAAATAACATTCCTCCCGAAGGGAAAGAACTTGCTTCACAGACTGGGAAATCCCAGTCTCATTGAGATCATGGGTGTGGGGGCCTTGTTACTGGCTGTCAGTTGATTGAGGGATTATTTGTGTGCCTACCCTGTTGTGCGTTGGGGAAACAGAAGTAATGCAGATGGCTCTGGGCCTGGCCCTCATGGAGCTCTCAGACAGACTACTCATAAATGCTGAACAAAACAGGATCCAAAATGAAGAAGGCTTGGGACAGGGGAAGAGCAGACTGCTGGAACTTTGTATTATCAGCAAATTGTCTTGGTGATGGCTTCCATAACAGTACTCTGAGAATAGAGAACCTGGCTTTGCTTCTTGCTTTCTTTTTTGTGTTGTTTGTTTTGGTTTTTCGAGACAGGGTTTCTCTGTTTTGGAGGCTGGCCTTGAACTCACAGAGATCCACCTGCCTCTGCCTCCTGAGTGCTGGGATTAAAGGCGTGCAGCCAACAACGCCTGGCTCTTCCCTGCTTTCTTTTTTTTTGTGTGTGTGTGTGGTTTTTCGAGACAGGGTTTCTCTGTAGCTTTGGAGACTGTCCTGGAACTCACTTTGTAGACCAGGCTGGCCTCGAACTCAGAGATCCGCCTGCCTCTGCCTCCCGAGTGCTGGGATTAAAGGCGTGCGCCACCAACGCCCGGCCTTCCCTGCTTTCTTAACTGCCTGTCATTCATAATTCCAGCTTCAGGGTGTCTAAGTGCTCTTCCAATCCCCATGGGCATGGGAATCTGAAGGGATTCCAGAGTAGGTTACCCTGGTTTTTTTTTTTGTTTTGTTTTGTTTTTTGTTTTTGCCACTAAAGCAAGGATGTTTTCTCTTGGCTGTTTTGAGTCTTCCTTTGACTCTGACGGCAGGAACCACACAAGAGGAGAGGCACACCTGAGGAGGGCCATTAAAGCTGTCTGGGCTAGGACTTAACCTTGTTGGCTTCCTATTCCTCTAGTTACTGGAGCCTGTCCTGCTGCTGGGCAAGGAGCGATTTGCTGGAGTGGATATCCGCGTCCGCGTGAAGGGTGGTGGTCATGTGGCCCAGATTTACGGTGAGTCTCAAGACCTGGGCCTGTGTCTGTGACAGCTGGAGCAGGGCTCGGGTCTTCACGAACTTTCATTGTCTTGCAGCTATCCGGCAGTCCATCTCCAAAGCCCTGGTGGCTTACTACCAGAAGTGTGAGTGGAACGGTTCTTCCTAGTGGGAGGGAAGTATGGCCACAAGTCGGAGGACCTGTGGTTGTTTGAATCTCTTGTCCCTTTGTCTCCAGATGTGGATGAGGCCTCTAAGAAGGAGATCAAAGATATCCTCATCCAGTACGACCGGACCCTGCTTGTAGCTGATCCTCGTCGCTGTGAGTCCAAAAAGTTTGGAGGACCTGGAGCCCGTGCTCGATACCAGAAATCCTACCGATGAGCCCATCTTAATGATCAGGGCTGCCTTTGTAATAAACATCCTAGGGCTCTAATATTCCTGTTTCTGTTGTGATTTTTTTTTTAAAGATTTATTTATCATGTATACAGTGTTTTGCCTGCATGTATGCTCGTACACCAGAAGAGGGCACCAGATCTCATTACAGATGGTTGTGAGCCACTATGTGGTTGCTGGGAATTGAACTCAGGACCTCTGGAAGAGCAGTCAGTTGTTATTTATAAATGTGCACCACATGTCTACTTCTTGTAAGGTGTTGCATCCTCTGGAATTGGCTTTACAGACTAGAGTGAACTACCATTGAGATGCTGAGTCCAAGTCCTCTAGAGCAGCTAGCTCTTAACCTTGGAGACTTTTCTCTAGGCCCAAGAATTATTTATTTGTGGTTTTTTGAGACAGGGTTTCTCTGAATTGTTTGGAGCCTGTCCTGGAACTCACTGGGTAGACACCAGGCTGGCCTCAAACTCAGAGATTCCTCTGCCTCCCTTGTGCTAAGATTAAAGGTGTGCACCACCAATGCCTGGCTAGCCCCAAGATTTTTTAAAGATTTATTATGAATACAACATCCTCAGTGTATATCTGCACATACCAGAAGGGGGCACCAGATCTCATTAACAGATGGTTGTGAGCCACCATGTGGTTACTGGGAATTGAACTCAGGACCTCTGGAAGAGCAGTCAGTTGCTCTTAACCTCTGAGCCATCTCTCCAGCCCTAGCCCCAAGTTTTGTTTTGTTTTCCGAGACAGGGTTTCTCTGTGGCTCTGGAGGCTGTCCTGGAACTCACTCGGTAGACCAGGCTGGTCTCGAACTCAGTGATCCGCCTGCCTCTGCCTCCCGAGTGCTG